AGCATTAGTGGCTAGATCAGTCTTAGTCAGTGGGAGCCTCCAACCCTGCCACTGTGGTCCTCCAGAAGTTCACCCTGCTAGCATCAGGGTGGCCTATGACAGAGGATGACTGACATCTACCAAAGTCGTTTTGTCTACCTGTTTGTTAATGTCTCTTCTGTGACAGATGCTTTCTGATGGGCATTAACATCTGATACAAAAATATTCACACTTTGTGTCTTCTCTTATTGGTCCATTCACATGCCTTTACCCTAGACTACTTTTTTTTTTATGAGACAAGGGGTCTCACTCCGTCACCTGGGCCAGAGTGCAGCAATGTCATCATAGCTCACTGCATCCTCAAACTCTTGGCTCAAGCTATTCTCCTTCTTCAGCCTCCCAAGTAGCTAGAACTATAGGCGCACACCACCATGCTCAGCTAATTTTTCTATTACTGTTTTTTTGTAGAGATGGGGTCTTGCTCTTGCTCAGGCTGATCTCAAAATTCCTGGCCTCAAGCAATCCTTCCACCTCTGCTTCCCAAAGTGCTAGATTACAGGCATGAGCCACCATGCCTGGCCCATACTACAGGTTTTTTTTTTTAAAGGTGATACTAATCTCTGACATTTCCCTTTGGATGAAATATTGTTTTTGATTTATTGGTTGATGGGGGAGGAGTAGTTTCAGAAATTTCCACCTGGTCTTCCCCGTTATAATAGTTCCTATCACACAAGTCAAGAAACCAATGTGGGGGTTGTACTAACCATCAAGTAAGCCCATTCTAATTATATACTCAGGGACTGGAAAAATGACCACTGTGAGCCAGACCTAGGTGAAGATTCTACTGACCACCTGTCCTCCTGACCACCTGAGGTTTACCTGACCACCATATGCTCCCGCTAACAGGGAGGCTATGATAATGCTTTGGGCCTGTGTATCAAAATCGACTCAGGTCCTGTGACCAACTGTCCTTGAGACATTTGAATATCCCCTTTTCCCCAGTAGAAAGTACCTGAGTGAATGGCCATAGGTTCCTTTGGCTAAGCATTAGGGGAATCAGCACTGCATATACATGGTGTCACAGGGGCCTTATTTCAGAGGAACTAGCCTCTCTCTAGTCAGTGGATTCCAGGTCTGAAAACTGACTTCGGTAAGAAAACTGGTCAAAATCATCACACATTTTTATTGAGGTAGTTGCCCTAAAGCTCCTGATTATCCATCCTTGATTTTTCTGGTTGAATAATGTGATGGTTTGTTTTAGGTGTCAATCTGACTGTACTAAGGGATACCTGGATAAAAAGCAAACCATTATTTCTGGGTGTGTCTGTAAGGCTGTCTCCATAGGAGATTAGTTTGTAAATTGGTGGATCGAGCGTGCAAGATCTACCCTCAATGTGGGCAGGCACCATCCAATCAGGTGGGGGCATGAATAGAACAAAAAGGCAGTAAGGTGAATTCACATGCTCTCCCTCCTGAAACTGAGACACCCTTCTTCTCTCGCTCTTGGACATCAGAACTCCAGGTCTTGCACAGTGTTCCCCAGGTTCTCAAGCCTTTAGCTTCAGACTAAGAGTTACATCATTGGCTTCCCTGGTTCTGAGGCCTTTGGACTTGGACAGCCATACCACCGGCTTTGCAAACGGCCTGTGGTGGGACTTCTCAGCCTCCATACTGGTACGAACCAATTGCCCTAATAAACCTTCTATCTATCTATCTATCTATCTCCTATTGATTCTGTCTCTCTGGTGAGCCCTGCCTAATACAAATAGATTGAGCAATACCTTTGCTGGCTGCACAACTACCTAGCCCCTAGAGATGCTGCCTCCTAACTCAGTGCCCGTCAGTCTCCCCTGGATACTACTTTGACCTTGCTGCTTATTATGATAATTGTACCACTTGGCTCCCGATGGCTGAGCACTACCACCTGGCCTCTCTTATTTGGTACCCATCATTCCCACTGCTATTAATGAGCACAGTTCTGTAACATCTACCACCAACCCTGCCTTTCAGAGGGAGGCCACCACCTATGACCCAGAGGTGCTGGTTCCTCTCACCAGTATGTTCATCGTTGCTTTGGCCTTCCTGCAGAACTGTCGTCTGGTGAGTTTTCAAGGCTTACATGATCTGTTCATTCTAGCATTCTCCTTTCCTTAAACCTTTTAACCCCTTCTTCCACAGCCTGTCATGGCAGTTATAGTATTTCTACTTCACTTAAGAGTAGACTGTCACTTTCTCCAGGTTTATAAGAACCATTCCAGCAGGGTATCAGCACCTTGTCCTGGGGTTCTTGCCAGAGTGCTAAAACCTATATCCCAGAGAAGTATTCCCACATTTTATAAGAAAGTAAGGCTGTATCTTGGCTGGGTGCGATGGCTCACGCCTGTAATCCTAGCACTCTGGGAGGCCGAGGCGGGAAGATCGCTCAAGGTCAGGAGTTTGAAACCAGCTGAGCAAGAGCGAGACCCCATCTCTACTAAAAATAGAAAGAAATTAATTGGCCAACTAAAAATATATAGAAAAAATTATCCAGGCATAGTGGCGCATGCCTGTAGTCGCAGCTACTCAAGAGGCTGAGGCAGAAGGATTGCTTGATCCCAGGAGTTTGAGGTTGCTGTAAGCTAGGCTAATGCCATGGCACTCTAGCCAGGGCAACAGAACGAGAGAAAGGAAAGAAAGAAAGACAGACAGACAGACAGACAGACAGACAGACAGACAGAAAGAAAGAAAGAAAGAAAGAAAGATTGATTAGTTAGTTATCAAAAAGATTAAATTACCAATAAATAAAAAACAATATTTCATCCTAAGGGGAATGTCCCACATTGCTAAACACTCCTTTATCCAACTTTATGTTCTATCCCCATCCCTGGATCCAGCACCTCTAGAATTGAGTCTCATAGATGCTCTTTGAGCTTTATGTGTCAGCTAAGCTGTATAGAACCTTCAGAGTATATTACCTTTTCTCCTTAGCAGGCCCAACACTTCCCTGTTGGTTTATATTGTGATTTATCTTTGATATTCATCTGGTGGCTAAAAGGGGAGGTGGGGACAGATCTTGAAGGAAGGTGCATATAGTCTTTAAAGGTAGAGGTCTCTTAATCATCTTCAAAAGGAAAGCATTAGTTGTTTTTTTAATTTATTTTTTATTTTTTTATTTCAGCATATTACAGGGGCACAAATGTTTAGGTTACTTATATTGCTTTTGCCCCACCCGAATCAGAGCTTCAAACGTGTCCATCCCCCAGACAGTGTGCACCACACCCAGTAGGTGTGAATATACCCCCCTCCCACCTGCCCAACACCCAATAAATGTTACTTCTATATGTGCACTTAAGTATTGACCAGTTAGTATCAATTTGATGGTGAGTACATGTGGTGCTTGTTAAGCATTAGTTCTTAGAGAGTGGGCCTCTTCTACAGGTTCAGAGAGTTCAAGGGAATCTGGGGGCTCAGGATCTGAATATATCAACCCAGATGTCTCCATCTCTCAGGGTCCCTTTGTTCCCAGTCAGGCCCCTGAGCTTGCGTGACAGTCTTGGCTAGGTTGACAATTTAACATTCTTTGAACTTTGCTACTCCACTAAGTCCAGGGCCTGAGCCTCAGCTTTTTCTGCCCTTCCACCACAGAAGAGAATTTGTTTCCTTTTGTTTCTTTTTTCTTTTTCTTTTTTCTGGTTTTCACATTTAGCCTTTAATTAATCATCCTTGGTTTTTTAATTATCTCTTTCAAAAGCATTAATTCCAGCAATAGCCATCTAATACCATTGTCTTTATAATTATTACTGCCCCATATTGCTCAAATGCCTAGTATATTGCACCCTGGTGCTCCCTTCCATGGGAATACCATCCCAGTTCATCACCAGTGAAAGCTTTAGCAATTGCAAGGCTATCTCATACCTGTGCTCCATCCACAGCCAGGGATGGAGTCCTCATTGCCAGCCAGGGGGCAGGCAATCTAGTTCCCAGATCCCATCTTAGCACCCATTTTCTACACCTCCTGGCACTAACTGTCACAAGTTGTATTCTCCAAGGAGCAAATTCTGAGATGGAAAGTAGCAGAAAGTTTGTAGGGGAGCACTCTCAGGAGGACACCTGTGAGGGGAATGGAAGGAAGCCATACTGAGTAAAGGAAGAAATTGAGCTGCAAAGTAGTCCTGACAAAGCCTCAGCTGACGCCAAAGGGAGTTCTGAATCTATATGGCCCTTCTGAGTTCAGGGGAGTGACCAGGCCTCTATATGCCCACGCCAACCAGTCATTGGATGCAGACTACCCTGCAAAGGGGCATGACTTGGGCAAGGTGGCTCTTTTCAGCAGAGATTAATCAGAGTAAGTCCTCAGTTCTGAAGAGTGGATCTGGATGGTGCAGAACAGAATCATCCGTGACAGTGGTGCTGGGGGGCTTCTCAGAACTGAGGGGAAGAGAGACGGGACTATCCTTCAGGTGAGGAAGTGCTTCGACAAGTGTAACCCTCTTTCCTTATCTGCCTGTTAATATGGCAGGATTCTGGTTGCAAAATTTGACTCACTGTAAAATAATTTTAAAGATGTTTTGTTGATGAGACTTCTAGGGAAATATCTGGCCAAAAATAATTATTTCTAAAATTAATTATTTCCTGAGTTTAGAACAAGAGATCCCAGACAGCTTTAACCCTTTAGTTATATTTCTGCTTTAATAGAGTAACGTTTGAAAATACACAGATATCCAGGGAAAAAAAGTAAAGCAGTATGAGGTATTGAGAGCACAACTGTGCTTTAATTTGGGTCTTAAGTTTCTAATTGTAATAGCTATCATACTTCTAGATAAACAATGTCCACTAGATGCCAGTGGATGTGTCTCTGCAGACACATCCAATGGCAATAGTATAGTACACTGCACTTTGTAGCACGTGTCAAATACCCATTCTGTGAAGTCACTGTGTTTCATCTTGTTTTTTGTTTTGTTTTCATAAGAAAAGGAGCATATCACAGTTTCTGAAGACTTAGCTATGAAATATTGCCTGTCAATTTGCTTCTCAAACCGAAATTTTAAAAAACAGTATAATTTATTATTGAAAGCAATTTTATAGATGTGGGAATCTGATTAATTTCACAGTGATACTGGTTGAATATAATACTCAGAAATGCAGGTATTTTCCAGAACAATAGGATAGATAACAGAATTAAAGAATAATTCTTTAATAATTCACAAGGGAAAAAAAGATGATAAAATTTAAGCTTCTTTTTAAAATGTTTTACAATTTCTATAAAACTCTTTCTCCCAAGATAAATCATTTAACCATGGTACCCAAACATACTGAATACATTGCCTGGCATCAAGGTGGGGAAACCCTCTCTTTTATATAATAAAATTCTCTTCGGATCCATCTTGACCCAAGTCCTGGTTGTTTGACGGCAGATTCCTGGCAAGAGACTTAGGGTTGTAATAGAAAGCATCACTTTCATCTACTGGCTGGTAATCTGGTTCCATTTCAGTTAGGAAGCCACTTCCAAATTCAGAGCCGGAGCCGGAGCCGGAGCCGGAGCCAGAGCCGGAGCCAGAGCCTGACCCAGAGAAGTCTTCAGAAATGGGGAAGATATCATCCATATTCTGGAATCTTGTTATTTGAAAGTATGAAAGAAAAATGAAAAACACAGTAAAGTTTAAGCTATGAGAGGATAACTATAATAGTTTTTTAAGATAACGAAATATATGCAGCCACCCAATTGCTCAAGTTAAGAGTTAAAAGCTTCCCAACTATTCAATGCTTTAAAGCAAAAAAAAAAAAAGTCAAATTTTCTTATGTATTTACCTATACTTATTGTACCTAACTCATTGCACTTACCAATTCCACATCTATTGCAGACTCACATAAACAATGTTAATTTTCTTATCACTAGCATAGCAACTCTATATTTGAAATTTCCTCCTGGAGTCATTTTTGTAAAAAAAACCTCTTTTATCATTTTCTCCCTAAAAAAGGACAAGCAACTAAGTCTACCTAGACAGATGACATTTTTTTCTTAAATCAAAATTTCCATGAAACTTCTAATAGTTTACAATACTTCAACAAAGCTCACTTTTGAAAAATTCTGTGTAACAAGTTAAGCATTATATATACCAGCATATTAACATTTCATTTCTTCCCCACAAAACACACCCCAGTCCAGGTGTGGTGGCTCATGCCTGTAATCCTAGCACAGGGAGGAGAAGTGAAGCCAAATAGGGGATAGGGAGGTAACCCACAGATTAGATTAGTAATGGGTGTGAGGACAAAAGAGTCCAGTATCTGCACAGAGGCAGGGACCATTTGTCCATAGTGACAGGAGGGAAAGCAGAATGTCAGAGTGAGAAGCAGTTACTGGTTTTGGGGATGGAAAATAGGAGAGATATTAGGAGAGAAGAAATGGTGTGAAAGAATTGTTTTGGAGATTTGGGGTTAGTCCCCTAATGTTTTAGATTTAAATGAATTATTATCAAAACCCATGACTTAAAAGTAATGGAGCATGCTGTAATATTATGTTCAAACTCAATGCTGTGGTTTTAAAGTCAGAGCACAGGGGTAGGACTGCAAAGTTGCATTTTGAGAATTGCTATGATATAATCTCTAGTGCAGAGAATGCCAGTGATAAACAAAGTCACCAAGATCCTCAAAGAGATCACAGATTTTCCTGATTTGGGGCATGATGATTTACCTGGTTTTGAGGACAATGATTTTCTAGGTTTGAGCCTGAAGACTAAAACATTTATGAAAATCCTTTTCTTAATACATTTTTGCTACATGCTGTATAACGTTGGTATTCATTGAAATAATGAATTCGAATATAATTGAAATTTTTGTTACTTATGAATTTATACTGGGTATTTTTTACAGGATTAAAGTAGGTTTTATTTGATCAAAAAGAAGTTTGGGCCAGGCGGGGTGGCTCACGCCTGTAATCCTAGCACTCTGGGAGGCCGAGGCAGGAGGATTACTCAAGGTCAGGGGTTCGAAACCAGCCTGAGCAAGAGTGAGATCCTGTCTCTACTAAAAATAGAAAGAAATTAATTGGCCAACTAAAAACATATAGGAAAAATTAGCCAAATTAATAAATTAAAAAAAGAAGTTTGGTTTTTGTTTTCCAAGTCATGGCCATTTATTCTTCCTTTCTCTATTTTTTTTAATCATTACTATCTAATTTCAGAATATTTTAATCATCCTCCCCCAAAAAACTCATACCCCTTAACAGTCACTCCTGATTCCTCCCTCGCCGTAGCCCCTAGCCACAGCCCCTGGCAACTACTTTTCTAACTTCTACCTCTAGGGATTTGCCTATTTGGAACATGTTTGGTAAGTGGAATCATACGATATGTGGCTTTTTGTGCCTGGCTTCTTTCATTCTGCATAGTGTTTCCAAGATTCATCTATGTTGTAGCATATATCAGTACTTCATTATTTTCATGGCCAAATAATATTCCTTTGTATGGATATATGACATTTTGTTTATTCAGTGATGAACTCCTATTGGATTTTAATATATAATATGTTTTGTTTACATAAATAAAACAATGTTCAATCATTTTCAGTACTTGTTGGTGAAAAGTACTCAATGATCGTCTCAGCCACTCACAAAAAAAAACCTTGCAAAAACGTATATGAATTATGTATACTTATAACTCCATATATCAGTATATACCGTACAATTTTACCATCTACTGAACAATAAAAACCAAACTACTAAAGCATGCGCTTGGAGAAAAACTCTGAACAATCTTCCCACTTCTGTGCCAAGATTTCAACAGAGATTCTATAATTACAACCACTTTAAAATCAGGCCAGGCACAGTGGCTCATGCCTGTATGTAATCCCAGAACTTTGGGAGGCTGAGGCAGGAGGACTGCTTGAGCCCAGGAGTTTGAGATAAGCCTGGGCAGCATAGCGAGACCCTGTCTCTAAAACAAACAAACAAACAAACAAAAAGAATTAAAATCAGAAGAAAGTCCACTTACGAAAAAGGGTCAGTCCTTGGAGGGAAGATCCTGTTGGATTCACCTGGAGCAAGGTCGAACATTGGTCCCTTTTCATCAATGCAGTTTGCAGAATTACTGTTGGGATTGCAGCGGACCCACTGGTACCTGGCTCTCCGCATAGGATAACCTGCCCAAACAAGGGAACCCACATAGTTAATAAATATTTATTACGGAGCTTCTAATCAGTCCCTAAGAAGTTCTTAACTAAATAGATTCTAAACTTGGGAGAATTTAAAATGTGGACAGGTTTTGGAATCAATTTCCTGAGTGAAGTCCCCAGCTCTGTTACTGATAGTTATGAAACCTTAACTTCTCTGAAACTCCACTGCAAAATGAAGATACCAAGAGTCATAGCTTGTCACAAAAATTAAATGAGAAAATGCTTATAAAGACCTGAATGTGGCGCCAGGCCCAAAGCCTGCCTCTTTTTATAGAGATGAGTCGAATCAGTTCAGAAAGGTTAAGGCATACACTGACGAGTACCTGTGATATTACAGAATCCTAGTTCTTGTGTTTTAGGACCAGATGGTGTCCTTCAGAATGAAAAGTTTACCTAAAAACTTGTCCTTAGCCTGGTGCAGTGGCCTGTGCCTGTAATCTTAGCACTTTAGGAGGCCAGGAGTTCCAGACCAGCCTAAGCAACATAGTGAGACCTGTCTCTACGAAAAATAAAAAAATTATCCTGTCGTGGTGGCACACACCCGTAGTCCCAGCTACTAGGGAGGCTGGGTCAGAAGGATGGCTTGAGCCCAGGAATTTGAGGTTGCTGTGAGCTATGATGACACCACTGCACTCTAGCCCTGGCAACAGAGCAAGACCCTATCTCAAAAAAAAAAAAAAAAAAAAAGGCAGCAAAACGTATCCTCTTTCTTTGCACTCAGACTTCATAAGAACAAGACTCCTCTATTCACAGAGGAACAAATTGGAATATCGAGTTTCTCACAGCTTCTTTTGGACTGAATTTCTAGGGAAGAGGCTCCAAATGTAGTGTTATGAGGTTGTATGGGAGATCGTTTATTAGTTCATAAAATAAAATCTTCATTGCTCAATTCAGCAAGGATGGAGGCCTGGTGTGAGAAATACTTCACCGTTCTTCAAAAGGTCATCTCCTCCCCACCCCAAGCACACACTTTATTCTAACTAACAAGTGCTACTAATAATTACCTAGCAAGAAGGAACATGTCTAGAATTCTTGAGAAATAGCACAAGACAATGTAAAACACTCAGACAAATTATACTCATGAGAGAGAATATCAACCAAATGTTTAAAAAGTAGTTATTGAAAATCCTGTGTAGCATCATGGAGAAACCTACCTTTAAAAATGAGTACAAAATCAGAATACCACTTTGTATGCATAATAGTTTCAACTATACAAACAGATACTGGAGGGAAATGGGAGGAAATACACAAAAATAACTGTGGTGGTAGAATCTTTGGTGATTTTTTTCTCATTTTGTTTTCTAAATTGCTATAACAATATTCTTTTAAAAATATAAATATTAAAAAACTCTAGACAAAAAGTAAATATTCTCCCATTGGTTTGTCTTTCTCTTTCTTTCTTTCTTTCTTTCTTTCTTTCTTTCTTTCTTTCTTTCTTTCTGTCTGTCTTTCTGTCTTTCTTTCTGTCTTTCTGTCTGTCTTTCTGTCTTTCTTTCTGTCTTTCTTTCTGTCTTTCTTTCTGTCTTTCTTTTTCTTTCTTTCTTTCTTTCTTTCTTTCTTTCTTTCTTTCTTTCTTTCTTTCTTTCTTTTCTTTGGAACTAATATTCTATCATAATCTTCCCTATGACTCCTGAGTATAGCTTACAGCGTCTAGTCTGGGACAGCTAGTTGTCCAAAATGGGTTAGCTCTGTCACTGCCTGGAGGCTGGGGACAAGGCAGGCAAGATGACATCTCAATGTCTGCCTGTTACTCACTGTGTGATCTTGGCCAGCTTAACCTTCCTGCACCTCAATTTCCTCTTCTGTAAATGGGAACAGTAACAGATTAACAATGAGATATAAACGTTAGGTTCTTAGAATGGGACCCAGCACCATGGTCAGAGCTCTTTAATGCTACTTTCTCTGATAATAGGGAGGAGGAGAACAATGACTTATGTCTGGCAGCAGACAACTTGTAAATTTTAATTTAAATGCAAATTCTTATTCTACCATGTAGTACCCTCTAACCATCAATTTATGGTCTTTCAAATCTGAATGATGGTATCCCAAAGAGTTGCTGTTTAAATGAGATAAAAGAATGTGAAGTACTCAGCACAAGCCTTCGCACATGGTAGGTTATTTCCTACTATTTGCAACTTATTTCTCCTTTTCTGATTTATTTTCCCCGAGACAGCATTAGTTTGGCATCTAATTGCTACTTAGAAGCTTCTTCTTGTAGGTGGGATAAAAATCCAACATCTCCAGCAGAGGGCAATGTCTTCACACCCCATGCAGTCTAGACTAGCATTGTCCAACAGAAACATAAAGCAAACCGCACAGGGCATTTCAAATGTTCTACCAGCCATATTTAAAAAAAAAAAAAAAAAAACCAAACAGGTGAAATTAATTTTAATACATCGTATTTAACCCCATATATTCAAAATATTTTCATTTAACATATAATCAACATAAAAGTTATTAATGGGATATATTGCATTCTTTATTCATCCCAAGTGTTCCAAATCACGCATATTTTACATTACAGCATGTCTCAAAGTGTTCGGTAGCCACAGGTGGCTCATGGCTTCTGTATTGGACAGAGCAGGTCTAGGCAATGTCCTCTGCATGTGGCTGACACACTGGACACCAGTGCTTACTTGCATGGGAAGTTAAATGGAAAAAGAAAAATAATGCTTTATGAGGAAGCATCCAGGTGAAAGACTACATCTTTTCACTAGTATAACAAACACAACTCTGGCAAATTAATAAAAAATATTTCTAAGGCCGGGTGCGGTGGCTCACGCCTGTAATCCTAGCACTCTGGGAGGCCGAGGCGGGAGGGATCGCTCGAGGTCAGGAGTTCGAAACCAGCCTGAGCAATAGTGAGACCTCCTTGTCTCTACTATAAATAGAAAGAAATTAATTGGCCAACTAATATATATAGAAAAAATTAGCCGGGCTTGGTGGCACATGCCTATAGTCCCAGCTACTCGGGAAGCTGAGGCAGGAGGATCCCTTGAGTCCAGGAGTTTGAGGTTGCTGTGAGCTAGGCTGACGCCATGGCACTCACTCTAGCCTGGGCAACAAAGCGAGACTCTGTCTCAAAAAAAAAAAAAGAAAGAAAGAAAGAAAGAAAAAATATATATATATATATATTTCTAAGATACAAAATTCACCCATAGTTCAGAATCTCAGCTTTTAAAATTTAAAAAGCAGGCTTTCTTTGGGGGGCATGTTCAAAATGTAAAAGCAACTCTGGTGATGGTTGTAGAATTCCATGAATATACTGCAAACCATTGGATTGAACACTTTAAATGGGTTAATTTTATGGTATGGGAACACTATCGTTTTTGGGGAGGAGGGAACACTATCTTAATAAAGCTGTTTTCAGTCAGCATTTTTTCATGAAATTAAGATTTAAAAAAAAAATAAACACATAAAAATAAAGCTGTTAAGGCCAGGCACGGTGGCTCACGCCTATAATCCTAGCATAGCACTCTGGGAGGCCAAGAACAGAGAATCGCCTGAGTTTAGCAGTTCAAGACCAGCCTGAGCAAGCGTGAGGCCCCATCTCTACTAAAAATAGAAAAATAAGCTGGGTGTGGTGGTGCACACGTGTGGTGCCAGCTACTTGGGAGGCTGAGGAAGAAGGATTGCTTGAGCCCAGGAGTTTGAGGTTACTGTGAGCTAGACTGATGCTATGGCACATTAGCCTGGAGGACAGAAAGAGACTCTATCTCAAAAAAAAAAGAAAGGCTATTAAAAATATATATAAACAAATCAAAGGTAGAAGTGCTTCCACTCCAAAAGTCTACTTAATTTGGGGCCGATGTTGTAAAATGTACTTAAAAATAAAGAACATGGTTACAGGCACAAAATTCCTAACATAGCTATTCAAGAGTGTTGGCAAAACGTGAAAAGGTATGGTTCCAACACCTGAAGTTTCAGAACATCTTGACTCTCTCTTGTTTGAAATAAATGTCTTATGATTATTGTAATTTAAAAATTAAAAGGGAGTATTCTCATGGACAGAAAAGTTATCTTCCTAAAAGACCCACTTATAGGATCTGCTGGCTACTTTTGTAGTGAATTCCAGGGCAAAGAATGATTTTTATCTGAACATCTTCCCCTACTTGCCCTCCCACCTCTCCCCAACTCCCAAGTCCTTGTTTACCAAAATACTTTCTATGAGTAATAGTTACCAGAACAACTTTCTCCAGTAGGCACTCTGTATCTTTTTATATTATGGTACTAATTTTTCCGCCAACATAATCACAATTTACTAATTTCCTATTTTTAATGGAAACTTAAGCAGTACCTACCATGAAGGGGAGAAATGTCTGAGCTGGAGTTACTTCTTATTGGCCTATCTACCCTACAAGATAGATAAGCTCCCCTGCCCTTGCATGGTTTGATAAGCTATAAAAAACTCCAAGTTTACTTTCAATTTCTCCCTCAATGCAGTGGGAAACAGTCAAAGGAAGGTTTTTTGTTTTAATTAAAGAAAATCTCTAATCCACAAGCTGCAGTAAAGCTAATTCTGACCTTGAAACCAGATGACCAGTACTGCCATTGATTAGCCGTAATGGGCCTTAGGCAAGATTCACAAATTTTCTGCAAGGGTTTGATGTGTGGAGCAAATGAGATGATGAATGTCAGATCTAGCTTTCTCCTCTATGAATTGGTGCTAATTCCTCCTCACGGGGAATGTGATGCTGATTACCACGGAATGGATGTGGAAATCACTTTACAAACGCAGCACACCTGGGAGGAATCAATATCATTACTGAGATCTAGGAGACAGTGTAGAGCGGTCACATGGTCTAGAACTGGCCCCCTTGGTCACACCTGATGGTGGAGGTTCCATTTTCTCTCTGTACAGGCATCTTTGAAAAGGAGAGGCAAGAAGAGTGTAGGATTCACAGAACTAATCAATAATCTCCTGGAGCTCCACGTTAAGCAGATTAGCCCTCTGTGCTCTCCAGGCTTTCCCACAGAGCCCCAAATTTCCATTTCTTTGTGCTCAGTGGACACAGTTTCACACCATGTCTTTACTTGGCTTTGACTTACAGGAAGAATAAGTATATTATGGGCTGAACGGTGCCCCCTCAAATTCATAGGTTGAAGTTCTAACCTGTAGTGCTTCACAAGGTGAGATTATTTGGAAATAGGGTCATTGCAGATGTAATCAGTTAAGATGAGGTTGTTAGGGTGGCTCTAATCCAATGACTGGTGTCTTTATAAGAAGAGGGTCTTAGGACGAAGATGCGTGGAGGAAAGGCCGCGCAAAGACAAGGCAGAAGGTGCCATCATAAGGTAAGGAGAGCGGCCTCAAAATGAAACCAACCCGGCCAACACCTTGATCTTGAACTGTGAGGAAATCAATTTCTGTTGTTTAAGCCACACGCTCTGTGGTACTGCCTTATGGCAGCCCCGGCAAACTAATACAGTAACTAAGATAGTTTTGAATGTGCTCAGTAAAAGCAAGCCAAGAGCCTAGTTAATTTGATCATTCAAACCAATGGTTTAAGTAAACATTTCTTAGAAGATGGGGGAAGAATGTTATCCAGATCACATCTGGGGTCACGTGGAGGTGATGAAATGGTGTCGTGGCTCTTTGTGTTGCAGCTCCTGATGCGATCACTCAGACATGCAGCCATGGGTGGGCATGTGTTGCCCTTCGTGTTCACATGTGGGCACACGCCTTGAGTTCAGTACCAAGTTCAGTGCCTTTCTTTGTATACTCTCTAGTTTGTCAGTTCATTCATTGTCTCTTTTTTTGGTTTCCTTTTCTAACAAAGAGCTGAATCTACCAGATGATGACATAAACGCTAGTATTTTATACAATTTCATGATGATTTCCTTTTTTCTTCATTTCTTTCTAAGGAATACATACTATACAAGGAACATTTTTTGTTTTCATTCTAGTTTTACTTAATGAATCATAGTGGGAAATGTGGTATTTCCGGGAAATTTTGAAAATATAAAGACTTCCATAGCTCTGGTTGGGGTATGCCCAACACCACCTGGTCACTCAAGTCTGTGCTACAAGTACAGACCTCTCTGCTCTCGACCTCGCCAGAATACATCGTTATTAGAGAATTATTTCATCAAGCCGAAGATTTTCCCTGAAAAGATCCAAGTAAAACCTGTTCCCTACAATGAACAATGTTTTATACTTTAAAAATAAATAGATTAATGAAGTTTCAGCAACATTACTTGGTGTTTCTCTTCAATGTTGACATCATTAGAAGAAAATGATTTTATAATTTCCAATGTAAAATGAATGTCTCTGAGATCAACTGTGAGATTCCATTTCCGTAGGAAGTAAGATCATGACAACTAGAAGTCACTTTGAAGAAACAAATTCAGGGCACATATGTCACTGTGACTCAACATTTCCCTTACGAGTTGGGGGAACTTCATGTTTTTCTACTATAAGTTCTAGCATCTATTTATCCGGCCATGACCTCTGTCTTTTATTTAGACACTATTCCTTATTTACCAAAGGAGAAGATATGGTATTTTCTTACAAACTGATCATTTTCATGTTCTTGGTCATTAGAGGTTTTAAGTTGTTTCAGTTTGACTACACAACCCTAAATGATAGAGAAACCTAAGAAGGTATTTCCAAATGTGATGTTTCTCTGAGCAACAAATACTAACATTCTCTGGCTTCTCTTTCAAATCTGAGAGGGTTTGCATTAACTATATCTAACCATAATTGAATTTTCAGTAAGAATCAAATTAAAAAGAAAAAAATACACAGAGTCAAATTTACTCTGATTAAAAAATAGCATCTCAGGCCAGGCGCGGTGGCTCACGCCTGTAATCCTAGCTCTCTGGGAGGCCGAGGCGGGTGGATTGCTCGAGGTCAGGAGTTTGAAACCAGCCTGAGCAAGAGCGAGACCCTGTCTCTACTATAAATAGAAAGAAATTAATTGGCCAACTAATATATATAGAAAAAATTAGCCGGGCATGGTGGTGAATGCCTGTAGTCCCAGCTACTTGGGAGGCTGAGGCAGGAGGATTGCTTGAGCCAGGAGTTTGAGGTTGCTGTGAGCTAGGCTGACGCCAGGGCACTCACTCTAGCCTGGGCAACAAAGCGAGACTCTGTCTCAAAAAAAAAAAAAAAAATAGCATCTCGTAGTGTTAAAAATAATGTTTTTAAATGCATTAAAAATATCATGCATGAAAACCTGGGGTTGATACAGACACTCAGGGGTAGGTAGATATTCCAAAACACTCAAAGGTGCTGTCTCCTCCATCCAACTGACACATGAGTCATTTTCTATAGTCCCTTGTTGTGCTTTTTAAATTTATAAACCATGCATTTTCATCTAAAAATAAAATAGCACATTTTCATCATTGTAAGAGTTTACAAGACTGTACCTGCCTCGGAGTTTAATTTTTCTTGGTACCAAACTGAACTCACATCAAGGAGTTCAGCCACCCCAGATCTTTCTTCTTTGCCTCCTTCCCCACAATATTATGCATCACCTTAAAATGAGCATAATCACTTGTGTGGACTCTGGGGCTCACAAAGAAGATTACAGAGGAACAAGACTCCTGAGTCTTACCTTGAGCTGAAGATTCCAAAACCAGGATGAGGGCGAGAGCAAGGACGAGCCCACTGCACTTGAGTAGCCGCTGCATCACGACCAGCTCACTCCAGCCCCACCGGCTGCACGCCAACCTCACGATTAGGAAATGTAGCACTGTGCTCTCTGTCCCTTTTAGAAAAGGTTCCAAAACCTCAAACCCTGCCCAGAACTCACGTCACAATTTCCTGAACAAATAGAAAGAGATCCACATCAAAACCCAGAAATAAAGGAGGGGGTTAAGGCAGCAAAATAACTATTCATACCCATTATGAAACTGCACCGGACTCTCCCCAGGCCTCCTTTTTCAAAAGTTTTGCTGTTTGCCACTTGCCTGTTAGAAACTTTTTCCCCCCAAAACAGTAGAATCAGCATTCAAGACAGTTTGCTCTTCCTTTCTTCAGGTAACAGTCTAAACATGAGATTGCTAACACTGAAAGTCACTGCATGATTGATAAGATAAGAAAGGGAGGTGCTGCCTTTTTCCTCACTGAACACCTTCAACATAAAATGTACTAATTGGCTTTTTCTTCAAGGAGCAGCATAACTTGCTGAGCCAAGCTTGAGAGGTGAAATGTCAAAGCTGAATTCTAATCTATGAGACTACAGGTACATGTTACGACAGCCAACTAATTTTTCTGTTTTTTTAGTAGAAACGGGGTCTCATTCTTGCTCAGACTGGTCTCAAACTCCTGATCTCAAGCTATCCTTCCTCCTTGACCTCCCAGAGTGCTAGGATTACAGGCGTGAGCCACCCAGCCTGGCCAGAGTTGTTGGATTTCAGTTTTCTTCATCCTGGACTCAGTTTCTCCCATCAGATCATTGGCTCTCTCTCTACCTCAAAAATACAGTGAAGATTTTCAGATACAAAGAATTTGTATCTGGTGAGTTTGATCACTTTAAAAAAAAAAAAAAGAATTTGTAAAGCGAGTTATCTTGCATTCCTTTGCTCCTTCACACCGAGCATTTTTCATGATTCGCTTCCATTTATACTTCCATCTTTTCTCCTGGCAAAATTTTTTAACTTGATTTTTGGGTCCTCTGGCCTTGAATAAGCCCAAAATCAAGAACAGGGGGAGGTGGTTCTCTTAGTGCGCTGCTAGAACTCAGAAACACACAAATCTCTGCCCCATGTGAACAAAGGAACAGCATTTTCCCAGGTCCTGGGCTTGCTGCAGATTTCTGGAGGACAAAGGCTCCATATTTAAGTCATACAATAAATGCAAGTTTATCACACAACCTTGCCCTTGCAGCATGGAATTTTTCCTTACTTCCTTTCCAGGTTCAACCACTCTCCATTTCGACACATCCATCCCTACAGCTCCCTGTAAGACAGTTTACTGCTCATGCCCACTTTCCATTTTCATCCTTGTCCTGGCCTGTCCTATGATAGGAGGGAGGAGTTTCCTTTCCCTTGTTTTAGGCTTCCTGCTGATTCCTTTACCATTTCCTGCTCAAGACAGGGCCTCGGAATCTAATTGCTGCGGTACAAGGACACAAAAAGTGCACATTTTGGCGCTCCTCAAGAAGCCCGTTGGTTATGAAATCCTATATAGGCTACTCAAAAAAAAAAAGCCCATTGGAACCAGCCAGAAGTGTGTCCACAACCCAGGGACTCCTCCAAGTGCAACAATCAACCCCAGTACTCACTAGCCCAGAGAGCTTGTCCCCTTTGGAATATTGGTTTCAGTTTGAAATATCAGCTGTCATCTTTGGTCCCTTTTAATCCTAACCCCCAATTTAGAACCCTGGCACCAAAACAATAATTCCTGTCAATGGCACCAATAAGTTTCCCACAAACCCTTAGAGCTGATTAGAGCTTATGCTTTAAAATGGTTGTTTTGGAAGCTTTTTCCATTTGGGAACTTCATTTTTTTCCTTCTCTGCGTCATGTTAAAAAACATTTGCAGTATTCATAAGCATTTGCTCTTCTCACACTACACCAACAACCAATGGTTTCCAAATAGTCTTCCTGCCGTCTCATTTCCCTAGTCCTCTTCAAGCCATCGAGGAGCAGGACAAATGTGTGCAGGAGCCAGAAGTCCTGGGTCCAAGCCTACGCCCTTCACTCACTCTTCGTGAGTCCATCACCCAGCTCTAACAATGGTGTGGATGTGCTCAAAAGCACAGGGCACACACCCCACACTGAGAGGGAAGTGTTGGCAGCACTCCTCTGGGCTGGGCACCATCTCTTGCTCAAAGATTTTTCCATTAACCAAATAGGATCCACATCTTTCTTATGTGTTTCCCTAAACCTCAACCTCTACAATATGCATGTGTTCCACAATTTTTTTTGAGACAGTGTCTAACTCTGTTGCCTAGGCTGGAGTTCAATCATAGCTCACTGCAGCCTCCAACTCTTGGGCCCAGTCAATCCTCCCGCCTCAGCCTCCTGAGTAACTGGGAGTACAGGCTCGTGCCACCTTACTTGGCCAATTTTTTTTTTTTTTTTTTGTAGATACAGACCTTCACTGTGTTGCCCAGGCTGGTCTCAAACTCCAGGCCTCAGGCGATCCTCCAGCCTTGGTTGGCCTCCCAAAGTGCTGGGATTACAGGCATGAGCCACTCATTCTTTTAAAGCTCCACGTTAAAGATTCTAGCACTTAGAAGTCTCTAGTCTCTCAAAGAAAAGCCACGAAAAAGTCTTGGCTCATTTAGGGTCTTGACTCTGAACTGGGTACTACACCAAAAAACAATAAATAGCAAATAGATCTTGTACCACATCTATATGTCTCTGGAGACCTAAAGGATAACCCTTGCAAGAATTTTTGAATTCTAGAACTGGAAGGGACCTTGAAAATCATCTAGTTCACCCACTCAGATGAGAACAATGCAAGTCCAGAAAGATTAAATGACTTCCTACTGGTCGGTCACACAATTGGTGAGTGACAAACCAGGTCTAGAACTCAAGTTTCCTAACTCATACCCCAGTGACAGGTAAGGAATGAAGGGGAAACAAGATTAAGATTTGTAAATAATCAGAATTCTTCCCTTTGGTCCATTTCTTTTAGAGGTACACACTACACATTTTTGTTTAGAATGATAAAATGACTGGGGTTTGCTTTTTTTTTTTGTCTTGCCTGTTGCCCAGGCTAGAATGCCATGGTGTCAGCCTAGCTTGCAACAACCTCAAACTCCTGGGCTCAAGCGATCCTTCTGCCTCAGTCTCCCAAGTAACTGTGACTACAGGCATGTGCCACCATGCCTGGCTAATTTTTTCTATATTTAGTTGTCAGGCTAATTTGTTTTTATTTTTAGTAGAGATGGGGTCTCACTCTTGCTCAGGCTGATCTCAAACTCCTAAGCTCAAGTAATCCTCCCGCCTCAGCCTCCCAGAGTGCTAGGATTATAGGCATGAGCCACCATGCCCTGCCTGAGATTTGCTTCTAAATAATCTAGTTTGAGGAGGAGATGAGAAGGATACAGCTGTAGGGTGATAACCAAAGCTAAGTAATGGGTAAATAAAGAGTCATACTATTCTCCCTACTTTAATTTATTTTTGAGAATTTCCATAATAAAACTTTCTTTTTTTTTTTTTTAGACAAAGTCTCACTCTATTGCTCAGGCTAGAATGCCATGGTGTCAGCCTAGCTCACAGCAACCTCAAACTCCTACGCTCAAGTGATCCTCCTGCCTCAGCCTCCTGAGTAGCCTGAGACTATAGCATGCTGGCACTACCGGAGTGGCAGCAGAATATATGGAGTATATATATATTATATAATATATATATATATATATATATACTATTTTTTTTTTTAGTTGTCCAGCTAATTTCTTTCTATTTTTTCAGTAGAGACAGGGTCTCACTCTTGCTCAGGCTGAGTGAACTCCTAAGCTCAAACGATCCTCCCACCTCAGCCTCCCAGAGTGCTAGGATTACAGATGTGAGCCACCAAGCCTGGCCCATAATAAAACTTTTTTAAAAAAATCATCTTTTTAAAAAAGTATCTTTATTTTATTTGGAACCCATATAAAGAAGAAAACATCTTCTAATTCACAAAAGGATGTTGCATAAAAAAGAAGACATTTTCTTGAAAGTCATATACTATACTTTAAAAAAGTAAAAAAAAAATTAAAAAGAAAAGACATTTTCTTTAAAAAGCGACCCATTTTTTCCATAGATCTCAGGCACCTGAGTTCCCCAATTCTTTCAGTTCTACCGTCTTTCCCACCTTCTTGCATTTAGGAGGAACTGTGGCCAAGGCACAAAATTATCCTGACACTTCTGTTCCCAAGGGAGCCGCTCCCATGTGTCCTTGGTCTCCTCACCGAGTGACAATGGATGGGTGCCATAGGATGGATGCCTGGGGAGATGGCACAGTCTCAAGGACATCCTCTGCTGTGCTGTGTGGCTAGCTTCTCCCTTCTCAGCACGATGGGCACACTTCTAGTTTCCCAAGAACAAGATTCCCCCTACCTCTTAAAAATCTCTAGTGTCCTATCCAGAAATTTCCCCAGGTACCTAAAAGTTGGGGAACTTGAGGATTTAACTTGAACTAGACAAGAGGGGTAGAGAAGAGCTCCCTTACCATAGTTTGGGTCTACAGTTTGAGTAGAAGAAAAATAAAAGTAGAGATTATACATGAAATTGCTGTACCTTCTGCTGAATTTTGCCGTGAGTCTAAAACTGTTATTTAAAAAAAGTCTATTTTTAAAAAAGAAAGGCATTAAAGAATTTATCAAATGCTACCTTGAGTCTAGTAGAATATGAAATTCCAATTCCAAAATCATAGGGATTTGAAGAGCCAAAAGTTACAGTGGAAGAGTGACATTCTGAATACTATTAATATAAATAACTGGGAGCAGGGGAATGTGTAACTTCTCTTGAGAATATTTGCACAGGAATAAAAAATACTGGAAACAGGCTGGGTGCAGTGGCTTATACCTGTAATCCCAGCGTTTGGGGAGGCCAAGGATGGATAATCGATTAAGGGTAGGAGTTTGAGGCCAGTCTAAGCAACATAGTAAGACCCATCTCTACAAAAAATAACAAATTAACCAGGTGTGGTGGTTTGCACCTGTAGTCCTAGCTACTCAGGAGACTAAGGCAGGAGGATCGCTTGAGCCCAAGAGTTGGAGGTTGCAGTGCGCTATAATGACACCACTGCACTCTAGCCTGAGCAACAGAGAGAGACTCT